GTGCGTGAGTATTCACAGGTGCATAATTAACGCAATGGGGATCATTCAAAGGGCGCATATTGAAGAACCCAGAGCTATAAAGGAGATAAAACTCACTGCGGGGTTTTTGAATGGGATAAGTATGTGGAGATGTCATTAGTAGCCGAGCTGCTCATATTTGATCATATTTATATGGATAATGTTTCATTTCAAATGGGTTTCTCTTTTGAATTGTAGAGCTCCTAATAAAAGAATGTTGAAGTGGGTTTAAGAAGGAAGTACTATATATATCTTAGCAGCATTCGCCATTTTTTTATAAATTGAGAAATATTTTATAAACTTCTAGATCTCAGTTTCAAGAGCTCCTTAAATAACACTTCCTTCATAAATTGCCATTAAGTTATTATTTAGATTCTATTCTCACATTTGCATTGCATTCCATAAATCTGTGAAAAATGATTTGCTGCAATAATGTTTGTTTGTTTGTTTGTTTGCCTCTTTGCTGTGCGGCTTGAGTTGTTGAATGGCCACGCCCACTGGCCTAGCGGCCCATTCATTTGACATCTTTGCAGGCAACTGTGTAATGAACATTTATGAGGCAATTTCCTTGGCAACACACGCGCACACACACACACACACACACACACACACACACACACACACACACACACACACACACACACGCATACACATACACAGGGGAACACACACACACACACACACAAACTGTTGGCAACGGAGACATCGCCTCGACTCGACTCGAGTTGGTTTGCCTTGCCTTGCCTTGCCTCGCCTCGCCTTTTCGTTGACTGTTGCTTCTGCTGCTCCCGTTTCCTCTCTGTCCATCGTGCTGCGTCCTTTGCTGCTTTTGTGGAACATGGCGCAAAACTTTTTCTGCTCCACTTATGCCCAAACTAATTAAGTGCAGGAAAAAGTTACCATTTCCTTCCCTCAGCCAGCTACTGAATGGGCGCCGAATGCAACGTCCTGTTCAGCTCTGTCCTGTCTTGGTAGATATTTCCCATTTTTCTCCCTTCACTTCGTTCGCTCTCTCTCTCTCTCTCTCTTTCTCTTTCTCTCTCCGTCTCTCTCCCTTCTTCTACATTTTGTGTAAGACAAGTTGTAGCATTTTTTGACAGAGGAGTTGCAGAGCTTAGCCAGACCCGCATTAGGGCCAGAACGCATTCTGTTTGCAACTGTCGCCGTTCGCCAAATATTTAACAGTCGCTCCACTTGGCGCTGATAGCCCATTCGGGCGTCATAATAACGAAGATAAATGTTGCAAAAGTTTCCACCAGCAACACAGGAGAGCAGCAGCGGTATGGAAGGACGCTGCGTACAAGGCAGGCCCAATGCGATTTCTAAATGCATTGTGTTGCATTCTTTTTGGCGCTGCGGACCGCGCCTTAGACAATGACAGCGCTACCAACAATGCGTAGCAATAAAAGTTCCAAAGAACTTTCCACAGTTTGTTTTACGCTGCATAAAAACACGATCCGAAAGTTCATGGGGTGCTTAAAATGTTGTAATTGCTTGACATGATTCGATTGGCTTCACGCTAAAATTTGATGAAATAGATTAATAGAAACAAAATAAAGCTAGAAATTCCCAAAAAATATGTTTAAAAATACAAAATCTGACAACAACAAAATTTCAAAATTATTATTATTAATCCATATTTTATTTTATGATAATAAAA